ATTTTTTATAAATATTAATACTCATATACTCTTGGCAGAAATGATAAAACATGTAATTTGTATGAATGAAATGATTTAACAAACGCAAATAGAATACAAGTATCCATAGACATAAAGTTAAAAAACATTACTATACTATGCATTACCTACTATGCAAGTACCATGAACATTGGAGTACTCTATACTCTAATGTTCATGGCAAGTACCTAACATTGGACATAGATTATCTGTCTCATCGTTGTTTCCATCGCGGTTAACAAATCCGTGTCGAGGAATATTATTTAAATGCAGAAGTTTTTATTTAGATACAACAATTTATTTTAATTATAATAAAACAACTTAATACTAAGATCTATTGTAGGTTTAATAGTTTCTATTTGCCCTTACTTGAATGTCGTTTCTATTTATTTATTTTTAAATATTTCTAACTATTTTTCTTTAGCGTGTGCGAAAATAGAAGGATCAATATAGCGATTTATTTGTTGTTCATAACATGGATGGATTATTTCTCATTCAAATTTTTTTGAAAATCCATCGCGTTAATATATCCAAGCAAATTTTTATGCTTTGTATTGCCAATGTCTTAATTTGAAGAGGTTTTATTTTTTTTTTATTATTCTTTCTTTGACCCTGCTGCGTATTAAGTTACCCTGGACGCCACAGTACGTTTCTTTAATACCGTGTCCTTATCGGTTCAGTTCAAATTTTGGGCGTATTTCTAATATCGACATAATTTATTGTCAATAAGTTCATTGTTTTATTCATGAACAGGGCCGTATTCAGTGCTGGGCAAGAGGACATGGGCATTGGCTTGCGCACAGTGGTGGCTGGGTGGGCCGTGGACCCCCCTGCGGACTCTAGCTTTTTCTTTAATAAATGTATATCTATACTATACAAGATAGCGAAAATTTTTACATTTTACATGAATAAAGTGAAGCCCTTTTTAATCTTTTAGTATAGAATTGATATCTGTGAATAAATGTAATAAAGTTATTAGTTATTAATCAGACTAATCAGAACTTGCATATAATATAAAAATTGATGATGTAATTGATACATTTAAAAACCTTACTCCCGTGGACAGAAGGATGGAGTCGTAAATAGTATAATAATATACAGGTAAATAAGGATTTCTTAGATATAAATTGTGAAGTTTAAATAGTATTTATTTTTATATTTGCATATTGCATTAAATAAATAATTTATAAAATTTAAAATATTTATAATACAAGTTGTCTTTAGTACAAGAATCCTAGGTACACTTTTCTTAAGAGGCCCTCCTGTGGAAAAAGTCTGTGCACGCCTATGGGCATGGGTCAGGGGTGCAATTCTAAGAGGGGCGCAAATTTCAACACTACTCATATAATAATTTTCACGAGATATGAAAAAGATGTAGTTAAAATAATTTAATTTGACAAATTTGTCTCTATAAAAGCAAAAAAAGTGCCATTGTATTAAAATAAATTTAAAATCATCTAACACAATTGTATAACAAAGAAATTGGAAGAAAATTAAATGTTTTTATAATGCATTGATTGTTTATATTTTAAAGTAATATAAATAGTTATTAAAGTTTATTAGTAATTATTACCTTGTATACTAGGTTTTTATATATGCTTTATATATCTCAAATTAATTTTTGTAAAAAAAAAATGCAAATTTTCCATTGCGAGGGGAGGGGGCAGATAGAGTGATTCATCAGGGGCGTCACCAGACCTCAATACGGGCCTGTTCATGAAGACTAGATATATCTATAAATAATTTTCTAGTTTTCATGATTTTATTATTAATCAATTATCAAATATGTACTTTAATAATAAGGGATAAATTTCATTATATAAATACTATCTTTTATTTGTTTTGATATTACATTTTATAACATGAATACATATTATGTATAGTATTGTCAGTACTTATATGTACCTACCTGTTGAGACACGGTACCCTTTTTATAAAATTACTTAAATCAATAAAAACATGACCAGTAGTTAGACTAATTTTAAGTATATTTTTCAATTTTTAATATTAAAAACAAAATGAAACAGAGAACATAAATATGAATAAATAATTTTGACATGTCTATTAAGAATCATTTGATGATTCAAAAACAAATAAAATATGTGACCATGAAAAAATTTAACTGAAAAGAGATGTTTTAAATATAAATACACAGTCTGATTATTAGGGTGACATTAATTTGGGTCTAAAGTAACCTAAATTTCAAGTAAATAATATTACTTAAATAATAAATTAATTATAATTAGAATAAAACAAGAAATAACTCGATTCTTGATTAATAACATAATATATTAAATAGTTTTAATATATTGTGTTACATTATTTTGTTTTACAAAGAAAATATTGAAGAATTAATTTTTTCTAGATATTTCCATTAACAACATTTTGAACACGGAATAGAAATTTTAATGATAAATACTATAGTGAATTTAAATGACTAAAATATAGTAGATCCTGTACTACTATTTTTTGCTTTAAATGTATTAATTTTACAACGAATTTAAAAACAGAAAATTTAATAAAAACTGGATACAACAATTGTAAAAAGTATGTTTTTTTTACTTGAGTATTTATTTATATAAATTAAAAATAATTATTGCTTATAAATTATAAATCATATAATTTTTTTAGTGTTTAAACTAGAATAAGAGACTTATACCCTGAAGCAGTTATCATTCATCGCATGGCTCATAAATTGAATTTGGTTATAAAATTTACTTGTAGAACCATAAGGAAATTATATCTATATCCAAGTTTTCAACACAAATAAAACAAATTACAATTATCAATAATGGTCTTCTCGTGCATATTACGTATGCTATATTGAATGAAATTATAAGACACTTTGAGTTAATGATTTAAAAAAGAGTTAAGCGCTTGCAAATTCAATAGGCAATTTAATTTAATTAAATTTAAATAAAAGCATAGTGTTTCTTGATCATTACCAAGTATAAGTCAACTTTAATAAATACATATTAATGAAATATAATAATTATTTAATACTTTTATAATTGTAATAATTTGTTTATTTAATTATGTATTGTTTTCTATCGATAAAGAAGCATTAAGTTGTGAAATAACTGCTGCACAAAATGTGCCATACAGTTACAACCAAATTTTGATTTAGAAGAATAAAAAAAAAAAAAAAAAATGCAGAAGAAGTGTATCCTAATATTCACTGTTTACTTAAAGGAGCCATATTACTATCTATCAGTTCTACATCATGTGAATGATCTCTGTTAACCATGTATCATATCAAAAACTAGATTAAAACCTTATTACACATCGAGAGAGATATTTATCGTTAATAATCTCAATCTTGATATTTTACTTGACGAATGCTCAAAGGAAGACTTATTATTATTGGTTTATTTTTATCATTTTATTAAAAAAATGTTCAATATATTTTATGTAAGTTTAATTATTATTATTTGTATTATATTAATCATTTAAAGCGTAAAATTCTAAAAAGAACATTAGAAAAATAATAAAATATATACATATCTATATTCCATTTTTTTCTTCAAGTTCTAACAGGTCTGTTGTGTTTATTAAAACTTCATTAGGTATAACATTACAAATTGCCTAATACTAACCTAACATGATATATACTTTTTACGGTACTTTTCTTTCGATACTACGTCCCTACAAACCAGACATCGTTACCGACGAACGGAAGAGATCACGTGTAGGGAAGTGATATCGATACTTTTACTTGGTATCGAATCGAATGAAAATACCGATATGAGTAAAATATCAAAACGAAAGGACCGATATGAGTAAGTATCGAAAGAAAAGTATTGATACTTTTACTTCGTTGCATCGTCGTATTGAATCGAATTAAAATAATGATAAAGAGTAAAATATTATAACGACCGATATGAATAATCGTTCCGATTAAGAGGAAACCTATTGACTTTATTGTATTGAGGACTGTGGTTTCTGGTCTATGGAAATAACAATATAATCGTATAGAGCAGTGGTCGCCAACCTTTTGGACCTCACGGACCATTAAATACATACTCTAAATTCTACGGACCACTTTTAGCTTAAAATAACTTTCTACATAAATACTGATATAAATAAATCGATGAGGCATTTTTTTTTTCGATCATATTTAATTTGTAATTTTCATTGTTTGCTGCAATGGATCTATTATCTAAATAATACCATGTCTAGGGTCTTCTTTTTTTAAAGAAATAACGACAAAAAGATTCTGTAGGTAACGTTCAAATTTTTCTCCGGACCACCAGTGGTCCACGGACCATCGGTTGGCGACCGCTGGTATAGAGTATAGAATATAGTGTGATGACTGATTTATGTTAACAAATCCATCACCACGCGCACAAACCAATTTTACTAGAAAATAATTATTGTACGATACCATTGGACAATTCGAGTACTTTTGATTTTTGAACCAATATGGCGGTTAATAAATGATTCGATACTATTCATTCGATATCAGTATTTTTTAATCGATACTTAAAGTACTTGTGTCGAAAGAAAAGTATTGATACTTTATTGGTATCGGCAGTATCGCAACGTCCCTACGCGTTGGGTTAGCCGTCATTCGACATGCGCAGAAACCGTGTCTTCTATTTTGGAACGGAGAGTATACTTCACGCAATATGTATTTATGCATATGTACGCATTGTGTAGAGGAAAGTTCAGTATGTATTAAAAGCAATATTTATCAAAAAACTAGAAAAAAAAAATCACTGAATCGCGTAGTTATGTTAAATATTATTCAGTATCATATGGATCACATTTTCCATTGTTTGAGGTAAATACTAAAATAATTGACATTGCATTTAAAACCAGTCCTAGGCCCCGAACTTGTTGCCTAATATAATTATTTCATGTTAGCTGAGTGTCGACTGTTATCACAGTATCGGTCAGATCCACTTTCGGCGTTGTTGCATCCTCCAAACACGAAGTTCATGTTGTCGACCCAAAGCGGTACATTCCTAAGAAAACTGATAACGCTAATGATTGATAACGTTCCATCGCCGGAAAACCGTACAACATTATCCGTCAATTTTATTTTTCGTGTTTACAAATATAGAATATTTTGCTTTTCCTGGCGGTTCTGGTGTTCTTTTAACATAGAACTCGAAAATCATTACCTACTAATATTGAAACCATGGACGGAATGCTCAGAAACTTTTCCAAACTGCTGTCTGTGCGAAGCCCAATCCAGCAGTTCCACAGGGTATGTATGGCTCCCGTTCAAAATGTGATTATTCTCTTGAATAATTTCATTAATATCGACAATCACACCTTGCACACAATGTTCCTTATTTACTGTTTCCGATGGTTGAGTGTGGAAAGTGAAAGGTGTTTGTGCTGAGATATCCTGTTGACAAATAAATAATTTTAAAATTATTTGTCCAGACAGAATCACCAACTTACTACAATTTTCTTAAAATAAAACCATAATACTTTCACATCTCCCTAGATTATATTTATAATTAAACATAATTGGAAGAATCAATCACACAATTCAGTCATTGGAAATTCATTTTTTATGTTGTAAAATAATGCGCTAAAGTTTTTTATCACCTTATCTGCTTAAGTACACTTTTTCAGTTTATATGTTTGACCTCCCTTAAAATAAGAAATTAATAGAAGTCAGTGTATTTTTAAAAATGATATCTTCCTGTATCATTTACGGTTAAAATACACTTGTACAGTTTTTTATTAAACAAATAGCTGTATAACATTTGTCAAATTACTGTGCTTGATAAAAGTAAAAAACCCATTCAAGCTACTGTATGTAATAAGTATAATCCTAACAAAAATACATAAGAAATGGCTAAGGAAAAAAGTCGGTCATTTATAAGATTTTCAAATACTATAAAAGTAATAAACTATGATTAAATACTAAATTGACTGAATTATAGTACCTGTATTTTATTTCAATAATTTAATTACTTGGTAAGGAATTTTTTTGACAAGTAAAGAAATTTAATTATTATGATGTCCTATCATCTATTAATTATTTTATTCATTCTTTTTCATGTTGTACCTTACAGAGTAAATAAATTATTGTAGTACCATAAGATTATTCATTTTAATTCAATCTACTTAGCATTTAATTATGATTTAACATTTTCATTTAAATTGAATTAATTTTTTTTTTTTTTTTTTATTGTCTTACTATAGTCATTAGTAATACTGAAACGTCGCCATCAAGTTCAGTTACAAAAGAAGAATTCTAAACAAAAACCAATCTTAAAAGGACGACATTTCATCTATGATGTGGTAGAGAATCCAGAATTGAAAAAAAAAGAAAAAATGGAAGTAATTCTAACTCAGTATGTTGAAGGTAGATACAGGTGCAGTTAATCTCAAAAATTTATTCTAAAGTCTGTACATTTTTATTTTTTGTTTATAAAGGAATTGGACATGAAGGTGAAAAAGTATCTGTTCGACCAGCATATGCATATGAACATTTAATTCTGCCAAAATTAGCTGTTTACGCTTCTCCTGAAATGGTTGAAAGTATGAAAAATGATAACACCCAAAAAATTAATAAAGAAACCCCTAGTTCTATTACCGCTCTACAGGTATTACAAGATAATACAAACCATTTCACGATATATTGTTATTAATAAACAATGAATAAAGAAAGTTATAAATAAAATGTAATTAGTTATTGATATGTTTATTGATAATTGTATTTTTCAGACTTTGAATTATTTAAAAAAAATGGTCATAAGTGTAAGCATGAATAAAGATAATCCTTGGACAATTGAACCATGGCATATAAGAGTATCATTACGAAAAATGAACGTACATGTACTGAATGATGATTCGATAAAACTACCTGATCAACCAATTAGTGGACCTGATCTTACTTTAGAAGGAAAATCTTTTGTTGTATTCATTACAGTAAGTTATGTCTATTTTTTATTTGTTAATAAAATGCGTGTTAAAAAATATTAATTTTTCTTTTTTTTTTTGACAGATTAATAAAAAAGAAAAAGTACCTGTTGAATGCAATCTTCATCATTGGAGTACTAAATTTGCAGATCGATTACCCTATACCGAATTCTTTAGAAGGGATCCAGTATCTATTCTTCCTGAGCAAACTGACCTTTTAATGTCAATAAGAGAAAAAAAGAACATATAATTTTTTTTGTTTTTTTTGTAGAGATATCTAATATGTTACATTTTGGATAAAGAATAGAATTTCTTATTATTGATTTATTCAAATTTTTTTTTTTAGTTATTTATGTTTTCTTATCTACTCTAGTATCAAACATGGTATTAAATCATTGGCAAATAAATGCAGTCTATAATATTAAAGTTATATTACCTACAGTATATATTATATTATAGTATAGTTACATATTTATAGCACTTGTATCAAAAATTAAAGATTCAACCTTAAACCTTTTTACTTTTTTTCAATGTTGTATCATATAATAAAAATAAATACAGTTATTTTTTGATTAACTGTTTCAATATTAACTATTGTAATAAATATAAAGTTATGATTTTGATTTGATTAGCAATGAACAAAAAAAAAGTTTCAATTTATAAATGTAATTATGTAATTATTTATCCACTGATTGGAATTTCGCAGTTACAATAATGGGTCATAAATAATTTTTCAACCGTATATTGTAAAGTAAAATCAAATTATAAAAACTCCTTAATTTACTTTTCTGTTGAGTTTATATAAGAATTTTAAACAAAAAAAATTAAAATTAATAATAAATATTTATCGTGAAACGAATAAATAATTGTATTAGGTAATTATCAAATTTAAAATCGGCAACCAAATGTGTAGTATTTAAATGGAAGTACAACATTTTAGTGTCCAATCTATATAACTCAAATAAATAATGTAGTAAATTGTAATAATATCCATTATTTAATTAATGAGTAAATTCATAGGTGAATCAGTTATGTGTGTATATGTAATAAATTTAGATCAAAGTATAATGTGAGATATTAAGTATACCAATGAAAAAATGAAGAAATTTTTAAATTTTTTGTAGTTGATGATTAAAACTCAAATAATAGTAAACTTAGTAGTTTAGTAATAGTATCAGATTTCAATGTAGTTTTATAATTTTTACTTATGTATTTATAGTTCTATTACATTTCAATTTGTGGTGGTGTGCATATAATATACAGTTTTAAATGTATGTTTTTTAAATTTCTGATGCATTATGTATGTTAGACATAAAAGTAACAATAGTCATATATCTTAAAAGTAATTTGTTATCATAATTGTAGGCTTATAATATTTTTTTTTGTTGGAACTCATATATTGTGTTAATATGTGATTGTAAACTTGTATTAGTATGTTCTAGCTTAATATGAATAAGTACTATATATTTATGTACATATAATCATTGATAATAACTTTCTTTAAAATTCTCAAAAATTAACTCATGTCATTATGGATGAAGGATATGACAAGAGCAAACAAAAAAAAAAAAAAAATATATATATATATACAAAAATTAATGCTGTATATACTTTATTTATAAAATATTTCTAATTTTTGAATTAATTATGGGGTTTGATAGAAATTTAAATTTTTTTTTGCATCATAATAATTATGTTAATCATTAATGGAAAATATTAACTTTTGTATTGCTAAATTCTGCTAAATTCAAACATTTACGAATAAGATAACTATAGTTTCCACCGAAATGTATTACAAATATAATATATTACATTTTATTTATTGAATTTATAGTTAATAGTTTAAGCCCAAAGGTGAAATATATATCTAATCTTTTCATTATTGATTATTAATCTAAAGAGACTGTTACAAAAACCGTAAAAATATTTTTGTACTAAATATATGCCAACAACAATTTTAATTATAATTCTGATTATGTTAATTGCCTAAACATTGGATTCGAAAAAAATATCTGAAATGAATCTGATATACAGTATAATGCCATGCTAGGCATAAGATTTGAACAGAATTTTTATTGTTACAACAGTACGAAATATTTAAGATTCTCAGTGAAATAAGGAATAGTTTTACCACGGTACAAAGTGGGGCAATAGACAATCAAAGGTGACATTAAATCATTTATGATTTGATTTTTCTTAATAATATTTCTATATAGCAATATTCTTATATTTAAATAAAATTAATTTATATTTTTGTAATAATAATATTTTGCATAAGTATTAAGCTATAAAAAAAAAAGTTATATTTAATATTACCACTGGGCGACAGTGATCACTATTTTTCAAATAGGTAAATTGAATTATCTTATTTAACCAATTTTTATTAACTTTAATCATTTTTTTCAATCCAATGAGATTTAAATACGGATTTAAGTGAATTATTTTATTTATTAAATCATTCTTTTGCAGTTTAGTTCAAATCTTTTTACAAGCTTTTTTTTCCGACAAATAAAATCTGGTCATCAATAAGTTAAATTTTTAAATTTCTCATTGTAAATTGTAAGCAAAACATATAAAAAATTTTAAAACACAAATTTGGTTGATGGTAATTGAAATTGGAACTCGTATGCATAAAAGTATTGCATTTTCCTACTAGGTCACGGATATTATGAATTTTATGAAACGATTCGGAGGTCCTGAGAGACGCAGCCTTCATAGCCTTAGCTGTATCCAAATCTTGGTCATCGATTTCAGGCCTACGCAAGAGGTCCTGTATATCAATAGGTCTAGGGTTCCTGTCTCCTGGAAACCCTTTAACCTCGATCTGATATGTCTCCCAATAGGGACAATCAAATAGAGCGTAGCATGCTGTATCTTGGAGATGCATGCAGTACAAACACCGAACGTCTGGTACTCGACTTCTTCCGTGTATCCGAGTTGTGTCCCAAGTACTAGGATCTAATCGCAGGTACTACACTAGTTGGGTTCGGGATATTTTAAGTAAGTAACATAGTATTTTAAGTAAATATACAATCCGTTATTAGCTATTTTAATAAAAATCCCGGACCCAACTCGGACGGACGATTGTAAACTCCACCGGAATATCGGTTAAGATAAAAAGGTAATAAAAGATCTAAAAATAATGTTATTAATAAATAAATGTTTTTTAACTGTAATGGGTAGGTATATGTAAACTCAGTCAATTTTTTTCGTTTTTTGCCTGTAAATTCATTTACAGTCATCTAAAAAATGTATTTTATAAAAGTCATCCAATGTTCATATTTTTAGTAAAGTTCTTAACGAATTTCAAACCCATACTTATATAAAACTAAATGGCATATCTTAAGTAAATAAGCTTAAAAATTCGAAATATGAAAAAACGATAGTGTTACAGCATGTTATAAATAGATGCACTAATGGAGTAATACAAGACTTAAAATATTTACAAATTGTATCACATAATTTAGTTTACATACATGACATAACAATATATTTTTGGATTATTAGGTATAACAATTATTTATTATGATATTTTTACTGTGATTTAAATATTTAATGTGAACGATATATTATATTATAATTTTCTTTTTTTAATAATATATTACATTAATTTTATACTACCACTTGATTTTCTTCACTGATGGAGTTTTCTTGAACTCAATTTTACCTGATTTTTTTCAGTAGCGAAGTATACATGAACCCAATTTTACCTGTTTTTTTTTTCTGGTGGAGTTTACAGTAAAAAAAGGTACTTGTAACGGAGTTTACATGCGTCCACTCGGACACAGTCCTCGACCCAAACGATGCAGGTAGTTTCTAAAGCAGGGGTGGCCAATCCAAATAATCTTGAGGGCCACTTTGGAAATACATTACAGTCCCGAGGGCCACATATAAAATTATATTAGTATTTTGCACTAATAAAAAATAATTTTGAGTAAACATTTTAAACAGAATTAATTATTATTACAAAATAAGTTTTGGTGTACCTATTAATTATTTGAAATAAACAGAATTAATTATTATTGTTATTATCACCGTATTCTGAATCCAGTTCTTTCAAGAACTCTTCAAATGGTCGGTGCAGAAGCGGCATGTGATTGGACGTAATTCACTATTTTTATGACTACTTGCATAACATGTTCCGTAAGTGCGTCATGTGGATAGAAAGATCTTTGGCAGACCTTGTATTCCATTTTTTTCAATTCGGTAAAATAGTTCGAGCCACGTGGCTGTGGTGCCTCTATTTTTAAAATAAATAATATTTTCATAACACGTATAAATAATATTATTTCATCGCTATGTGGGTATGACGAGACCTGTTCCGTTGATGTTTTTTGATTGGCAGTTTACTAATTCGTGGAAATGCTTGCCACTGAGTTTTTATTGTACTCGAGAAGTTTTGGGTTTTGTCGGGGGACCAAGTCCAAGAAGCGTTAATACAGATACGTAACCTAACCTCGTACATACAAAATCAACGAGTGTTTATAATCATAAGATAAAATCCTAACAAAACTTTTTAATTGATAATAGATAGTTTTCGAACCAAATGAATGTTAAAAAAAATATTAAGAACATCAAGCAAAAAAGCGATTTGAACTGTTGTGTACAATTGAACATTGTTGAATTATATTTACCGTGAAAAAATATATATACATATTATATTACAACCTTATTTATGTACGGCTCTACGATAGTAATACCTATTATAAAACTTATACAAGGATGTAAACAATTTTATGATCTTGTTGGACGTGATGCTATAGAAGGTGTTGGGCTTTTCGGTGATTCCAGAAAAACGTATTAATCCGAGTCCGTAAAATAAAAAATAAAATAATATATATAAATAATACGTTCGTAACCGTGTCTTCAAGGTTTCGAGATTGACCGGCGAAAGTACTCCGAACCATCGTGCGCGTGTTTCATTAGGATTACATTGCACGTTAAAAAAGTAAATACATTACGATTGCTCTCTAAAATGAATTATACCTGGCACCCGCAAACGCCAGCCAGCCGGATATCGCACAATGGTTAGCGGTATTCGCTAACGTTGTTTGTCGAACAATTGAGTAGACCGTTATGGATGTATAACTGGTACCGACTTACGTAAGCTACAGTGGCACATTATAATGTCTGATTTATTGTTATAATTATTATTATTATCTGTTCATAATGTACCTTGGTGACAGAGATTGTTGTTTGTAAGATTTAAATTTCAGTTCAAGAATCTCATGAGCTCATTTTTTCTTAAGTTTTCTTAGAAAATAAACAATCCGTTGTTTTAATATTAAGCGTTAACATATAAACTGCATTTAACTCATAGTTTCAAG